CCAAATTCCAAATCTTCCAAATTCCAAATCTCCCAAATTCCAAATCTTCCAAATACCAAATCTCCCAAATTCCAAATCTCTCAAATTCCAAATCTTCCAAATTCCAAATCTCTCGAATTCCAAATCTCTCAAATTCCAAATCTCCCAAATTGCAAATCTCTCAAATTCCAAATCTCCCAAATTCCAAATCTCCCAAATTCCAAATCTCTCAAATTCCAAATCTTCCAAATTGCAAATCTCTCAAATTCCAAATCTCCCAACTTCTAAATCTCCCAAATTCCAAATCTCCCAACTTCCAAATATCTCAAATTCCAAATCTCCCAAATCCTAAATCTCCCAAATTCCAAATCTCCCAAATTCCAAACCTCCCAACTTCCAAATCCCCAAATTCCTAACTTACTAAACCCCATATCTCAAACCTACAAGTCCCCAAATCCCTAAATCCCCAACTTCCATAATTCCTAAACTCCTTACCTCAAACCCCGAATCCCCAAATCTTCAAATCTCTAAACTACCCAAAATTCCAAATGAAACAAATGACCAAATCACCATAAACGAACAATAGAACGTACACGTTCTCCATTTTCCCAAAACAACTCTACAATGCTCGCCATTGCATTTCACGGTGGATTCATAAGATTCCTTGTTCGAACCTTTTTTTGCTGCTCTACGGAACTTCTTTCGGTTCCTTGGAATACTTTGTTACCACCGGTTGATTTATGGACCGGCGTTTATGCCTTCATGTTCGTTCGACCAAGATATCCGAAAGGTACCGTTTGATTTTGACAACGTAATACCAGTGGATCGTGTAGGTGGGATTTATGTAACCCGGCAAGTCGTCGGTGTATGACTGTCACGATTCACTGAGCGCTGCCTTTCTGGCTTAATTCGTATTCTTTGTTCGCTTTGTTGCTCCTTCGACGAAGAAAATTTACGAGAAATCTTCGCTGCGAAATATTCCAATCGAATATCGTGTTTGTAATCGGCTTTTATTATTAACGACGATTCTGGATCCTTGTTTGCAGCAATTTTTCATAACTTATGTTGTTAAGAGTATAAAAGGGTTAAGAGTATACTTAATTACGAAATTAAGAGGCTTTAGTCTGTGAGGATTTTTATCGGGGAAGAATTATTGTTTTATAGTTTGCTTATGTATTTTTTCGATATTTCTTATGTGTCTCGAGGTATTTTAGTGTATCTGAGTTTATGTAGCTTCGAAATATCATGGTGAAGTCAGATTCTACGCAGTCAAAGTGAAATCCATGGTTTCTCTACTCGAAAGTAGACGGTGCCTGCCGATGTCTATAATCTTTAGTTTTTTAAAACATTCTCTAGTTAAAAATCTACTTGGCTTTCTTTAGATGAGGACGTATATGTGAACTTTTCGTTCTCAAATATTCATATTTTCAAATTTCTTCATTTCTTCAAATTTTCACATTTTTAAATATGAAAATTTCCACATTTTTAAATGTGAGAATTTCTGAATTTCTAAATATTAAAATTTTTGCATCGTCACATCTCTAGATTGTTAGATTTCTACGGCGCCCAATCTCTGGCTTCAAATATTCCTAGATCGCAAAGTACCTGCGTCTGCAAATTCCTGGTTCCTCAAATCTCCAGATTCCCAAATTACATCGCTAAATTGTTAGATTAAAAAATCCTTAGGTCTTCAAATACCTGTAAATTCTATTTTTATAGGAATACATATACGTGTAACAGATTTATCTCCGTTTCGGTACAATTAACTTTTCTGAAGTTTCTCTAGTGTGCAAATATTATTGTTTACGTTCAGTTTATTTACATTATAATTTACATTCTTATTTACATTTAATTAATTTACATCCATTTACATTCTGAACGTTTAATACATGTATTTAGGATGATTTGTATTGTACTCATTTACATTATGTATATACTAAACATTTATTACATGTAGCACTCATGTAATATCATTTCTATAATATTAACATTGTTTATAGAATATAATATATTCTATATTATTAACATTTTCAATATTTATTACATGTACACATTTAACGTAGATCTAACACATTTCTAAAAGTTATGCACAAATGTCCCTAATGCACGTATAAATTATCTCCATTTTGGTTCGATTAACCTTTCTAAAATGTCACTGTCATTTGCATTCAATCTATTTACATTCATTTATATTCTTATTCAAATTATTTACATTCAAATATACTTACACTTTTATTTATAATATTCACAAATATTACTATTACAACTACAGATATTACAATTACAATTATAATTGTCATTTAACACTAGGTTTATTTATATACCTCTATGAACACGCGTCAATTTGACGCTTATATACTTATCTCTACAAACACACGTCAATTTGACGCATGAACGAATACATTTAAAGAAAACAACCCCTTAGAAAGCAATATAATTAAACACTACAAGAAATGAAAAAATGAGACATTTATAGAAAGTTTTTATTATTCAATAACATTTTAGTACATTACTTCAATATTCTATATTCATATTTTTACTTCCCTCTACCCTGCGAACTGCGATTTGTACTGCGACGCCGGCTCCGAACCCGGCATACCGGCTGAGCCAGCCGCGTGCGACCCCGCACTAGCGAAGTCCGTCGTTTATAAAGTATTGTCGGTGCATTCATATTTATTATTGTCGTAATTTTTGCCTGGGTAAAACTAATTTACTAAAAATTTTATTTACATTACGATCGCGTGAAATTGACGCACATCCGTAAAGATAGGTATACCACATAGCAAATTTCAATATTTCAAAGCTTTCGAAGAAAATAGACTTCAATATATATTTACGTCGTTCAATGAATAAAAGTCAGTACAAGATAAAATAAAAATGGGAACGGTTTTTGTAATTTTCAGTAGTAGTTGTGAGACTACACTAGTTGTGAGATTGCACTAGTTGTGAGATTGCACTAGTTGTGAGACTCCCTGTATAATTTGCGCGCGAAGTTTGAATCTCTCCTTTCAATAGTTGTTGCTATTGGTCTTGGAAGTTATTGTATTTATTGTATTTGATTAACAAGGTTTATATACTATGTATCTACTTATTGTTAG